GCTTCTTTCCTACATGGTTGTTGTAAATTGTAAGTCTAATACTCACACATACCAAGACGGGGATTATACCATCCACACGCTCTCAGTAGCTTTAGAGAGTGTGAGTTAATTTTTTTTTAGGTTTTAAATCCTTTTAAAACTGATTTGACATATTACACTATTATCTTTTCCTATTCCAGATTGTTCTGAGGTTATCATAAGACATAAATTATTGCTGTCCTCTAAAGCAGCGTTTCCGTGAGAACACAATTGGGGTTCCCCCAAAATGTCTAAAATCAAAATGGCTGCAGGCTGTGAGGGAGCATTGGGCAGTGATCTCCCTGCTCAGCTCCCTCACGCGCGGTGATGCTGGAGCCGGAATATGACATCACTTCGGCTCCAGTATTACTGCAGAGGCGCGCGAGGGAGCTGAGCAAGGAGATCACTGCTCCCTCGCCGCCTGCATGCCAGTTGCTCAGCAGCCCCACTGGACCCCACGGACTGCACGCCAGCCGCTCAGCACCCCGCTGGACCCGAGGGACCGCACGCTTAGCCCAGCATCCCCACTGGACCACAGGGACATAGAGACTTCATGCCAGCACTCCCAAAGGTAGGGGGCCTGCGTGGAGTAATATCTAAAAAAATTAATTTTATGTGTGTCTGTTAGGGAGTTTGTATGTGTTTGTGTGTCTGTCAAATAGTATATGTGTGTTTGTCAGCGAGAGTTTATGTGTGCTTGTCAATGAGTGTGTGAGTGAGTGTGTGTGTGTTTGTCAGTGAGAATGTATGTGTGCTTGTATGTGTGTCTGTAAAAGAGTATGTGTGTTAGTCAGTGAGAGTGTATGTGTGTCTGTCAAAGAGTATGTGTGTTTGTCAGTGAGAGTGTATGTGTCTGTCAAAGAGTATGTGTGTCTAAGTGTGCCAGTGTGTGCATCTGTGTGTCAAGGTTTGTGTATTTGTCACTGTGTGTATCTGAGTGTGTGTGTGTGTGTGTGTGTATGTCAGTATGTGTGTGTATGTGCCAGTGTATATCAGTGTGTTTGCATGTGCCTGTGTGTATGTCAGTATGTGTGTATCTGAGTGTGTCAGTATGTGTATATAACACTGTGTGTATGTGTCAATGTGTGTATCTGAGTGTATGTGCCAGTGTGTGTATCTGTTGGTGCAAGTGTGTGTATATGTCACTATGTGTATCTAAGTGTGTGTGTATTTGTGAGTCAAGATGTGTCTGTCTGTGTGCCAGTGTGTGTGTATCTGTGTGTCAGAGGCAAACACACACAAACATGAGATACACAAACTGGCACATACAAACACAGATATACACACCTTGACACACACCGGCACATACAAACACAGATACACACACTTTAACACATAGATACACAAACCTTGACACACAGATACACACACACACACACACAGATACACACTGTGTGTCAAGGTGTGTGTATCTGTGTCAGTGTGTGTATCTGTGTGCCACAGACACATACAAACACAGCTACACACACTTTGACAACAGATACACACACCTTGACACAAAGATACACACACACACACACACACACTGCATGTCAGTGTGTGTATCTGTGTGCCACTATGTGCCAGCGTGTGTGTGTATCTGTGTGTAAGATACATATTGTGATCCTTGTCAGCAGGTAGCACGGTCCTCTAGGGCAAAAACATGCACAGTCCTTGTAATTCATATACTCCAGGCACTTTATTTGTAAGTTCACACAGGATACAGCAGTAAAATGAAAACATAAATGTAACAGAAAACCCTATAAACAAAAACCTAGCTCGGTCTGAGCACTAACTCACTTTAGGTTCCCTATCTCTCAGGGTTAAACTAAACAAAACAATATTGCACCAACCTTATTAGAGAGCAACACTCTGCTAGCTAGCCTGTTGCTTTCCTTTCTGCACTCCCAGTGCTCCAAGCCAGCCTTGCCCTGACTGCTTTCCTTTCTGCACTCCCAGTGCTCCAAGCCAGCCTTGACCTGACTGCTTTCCTTTCCGCACTCCCAGTGCCTCCAAGCCAGCCTTGACTGCTTCCTTCTGCACTCCCAGTGCCTAGTCTCTTTGACTCTATCTGGAGAGATCAGCCTCTCTCCTACCTGCTTCCTGGGAGGAAGCCAGCAATCCCTCTCCTTTACCTGTCTAGCAGGGAGGAGTTTATTCCCACTGCAACAGCTCATTAACTGCAGCTGAGCAGTGGGTTGGAGACGATCCAAAAACCCTGGCCTGGATCCATGTCTCCCCAGAAAACCACTAAACTGTGGAGTGGAGCATTGGCCCACCCTTCTCTCCAAATGCTCCACCCCAGGGGCCCATAACTAAACAGTGTTTTGTGTTGTGCAACACACAAACTACACTTTCTTCCCCTGGGGTTAAAAAGCCTATCTGCCTTCACTTTATCACAATACACACACAGTTACACATTGACACACAGATATGCACACTGGCACATACAAACACAGATACACACACACCTTGACACACAGACACACACCGGCACATACAAAAAACGGCGCAATTATTATTTTTTTTCCGGGGGGGGGGGTGCACGATGTTGATACACTTAGTCAAAGGGTTCCACAGGAAAAATTAATTGGGAACCCCTGCTCTAAAGTGTACACATATAGCTTATTAAACACTGTTTTTCATATACACTCCTATCTTTTTATGCCATGTCCTTTTTTGTCACACATACAGATACACAGACACACATGGGCACACATTGACAATCATGCAGGTATTAAGACTCACAGATACGCACAAACACCCACGTAAATACACAGACACACACATACAAATACATAGACACTGACACACATGCAGACACACATTCAGATACACAAAATGACACTTATACAGGTACAAAGGCTGACACACATGCAGATAGATAATACAGATTAAGGGACAGCACACACATAAAAATACAGTTTTATAATGTGTAAGGCTACTTAAAATCACCTATGTCAGCAAACAAATATGGGGATTCAGTTCTACCCATATGGCCATATTGTGTTAAGCCCACTATTAGCCTTCACAGTACCCCAATATTGGTGGATCCTACACTAATTCCAACGTGGGAGACACAATATATATTGCTAGTGCTAAATAAGCTAAAGTGTATTTTAATAATCTAATGTTAGAGTATTGTGAATATATGTAATGCAAAACTGATGTGATGAAAAACACAATAAAAAAAAATGCAGTGTCAAAACTAAACAATTAATGTGATAGCGCTTTGGTGTATATAGTCACAATGCATATAATTATTATTATTGTGTTATTTATAGAGCGCCGTCAAATTCCGCAGCGCTTTACAATGGGTGGACGAACAGACATTTAGTTGTAACCAGAAAAGTTGGACACACAGGAACAGAGGGGTTGAGGGCCCTGCTCAATGAGCTTACATGCTAGAGGGAGTGGGGTAAAATGACACAAAAGGTATTAGACTAGTGACAGTTGCAGAAGAGGAATCATTCAGGAGCTATTAACAGTTTAATTGATACGCTTTTATGAAGAAGTGGGTTTTTAACGATTTTTTGAAGGAGTGAAGACTGGGTGAGCATCTAACGGAGGAGGGAAGTGTGTTCCACAGGAACAGTGCAGCCTTCGAGAAATCTTGAAGGCGAGCATCAGAGGTGGGAGTACGGACAGAAGATAGACGTAAGTCTTCAGCAGATCGTAAGGGCCTAGACGGGACATACTTGTGTATAAGGGAGGATAGATTGGTGGGAGCAGCATTATGTAGAGATTTGAAAACCAGAATTTTAAATTGAGCTCTATATTTTATAGGAAGCCAATGTAGGGACTGACAGAAGGGTGAGGCATGGGAGGTGCGGGCGGACAGGAAGATGAGCCTCGCCGCCGCATTCATTATGGACTGTAACGGCGCAAGTTGGGAGCATGTAAGACCACTGAGAAGTGGATTACAGTAGTCAAGGCGAGAAAGGACAGTGGAATGGACCAACACCTTAGTGGCATCTGGCATTAAGTAGGGGCGGATGCGCGCAATGTTTTTGAGATGGAAATGACAGGATTTGGCGATAGATTGAACATGAGGCTTGAAGGAGAGGTCAGAGTCAAAGAGAACACCTAGGCAGCGAGCCTGCGTGGTGGAGCTGATGGTAGCACCGTTGACTTGGAGGGAGACAGACACAGGAGTAACAACATTTGAGGGAGGAAAGACCAGAATTTCAGTTTTGGTCAAGTTTAGTTTAAGGAAGTGGGCAGCCATCCAGTTAGAAACAGCAGAGAGGCAGTCAGAGACACTAGTCAAGAGGGACGGGAGAGATCAGGAGAGGACAGGTAGATTTGCGTGTCATCTGCATAGAAATTATATTGGAAGCCAAAGGAGCTAATGAGTTTACCAAGGGAGGCAGTATAGATGGAGAACAGTAGGGGACCAAGGACTGAACCTTGGGGGACACCAACAGAGAGGAGTTGGGGAGAAGCAGAGCCAGAGAAAGAAACACTGAAAGAGCGCTGGGAGAGGTAGGAGGAGCACCAGGGGAGAGCGATATCTTGTAGACCGATATTGCGGAGGATGAGAAGAAGCTGTTGATGATCAACAGTGTCAAAAGCCACAGACAGGTCAAGGAGAATTAGGATAGAGTAGTGACCAAGAGATTTTGCAGCGAGTAGATCATTGGATACTTTGGTCAGTGCCGTTTCCACAGAGTGCTTAGCGCTGAAGCGGGTCTAGCAGAGAGTTGGACTCGAGGAAGTCTGTCAATCTCGCGTACACAATTTTTTCAAGGATCTTGGATGCAAAAGGCAGTAGCGAGATAGGACGATAGTTGGATGGGGAGTTAGGGTCAAGATTGGGCTTCTTTAGAATTGGGGTTACAGTTGCATGTTTGAAGGGCAATGGAAATATACCAGAGGAGAGAGAGATTGAGAATTTTAGTGAGAGGTGGAGAAAGAGAAGAAGACAGAGTACGGATGAGATGCAAGGGAATTGGATCTAGGGAGCAGGTGGTGGGGCGAGAGGACTGGAGCAGAGCAGAAACCTCTTCCAAAGTAGCGGGTGCGAATGAACATAGAACAGCAGAGGGAGTGAAGTTAGGGGAAGTATTGTAAGGGGAAGAAGATTGTAGAGATCTTGTCAGTGAAGTGAGTTGCAAAGTCTGAGGCGGTCAAGTTAGTATGTGGAGGAGGAACAGCAGGGTGAAGAAGAGAGTTAAATGTGTGAAACAGTCGTTTGGGTTCGCCGGAGAGTGTGGTTATGAGGTTATTGAAGTAATTAACTTTTGCAGAAAATATATATCTGCTCTATACCAAATGAATTATGATTAAAGCGACATCACTACTCAAAACCTCTTCACATTTATACTTTCCTGTGGTCACCTCCAAAAGGGCTTCTGAAGCTGAGCAGTGTGCCCAACCCAATAAGAATCTGATCTGGATTCCAAACTTACATAGTCAAGACAAAAAGGGGAATTGAGGGCACACCTCACTTTTCTCAGGAATGATGCTGACATACAGACCTAAATTTATACATAATATAGATAAAGGAACATCACACACATACAAATACAGTTTTATATTTTATAAGGCTACTTAAATTCACCAGTCTCAGCAAACAAATATCGGGTTTGAGTTCCACCATATGGCCATATTGTGTTAAGCCCATCACTACTCACATACAGCTAAATACACACACTGACACACATGCGGATACACAGACAAACAGATAAAATAATATACTAACATATATACAGACACACAGACACAAATACAGTGCCAAATGCAGATACACAGACACATACAGACACAAACACATACACACATACACAGACACACAGATACACACAAATACACACACTGATACACAGACACAAACTGACACACAAATACACACATGCAAAATGTAAATGTTTAGCCACCCTCCTGTTTCCCTTCTTTATGGTGCTGGACAGTGGTTTCCCTGTGGTCCACTAGGCTGAGGCTGTTTGGCGTAAAATGCTCTCTCAGTTTGTGCTCCCCTCCTCTCTGTCTTCGCTGTCACTTCCTACCTGGCGCCGACCACATTAAAGAGGCCTCGGCTGCGCTATTAAAGGGCCGTGGCACTGACACATTATCATAGGGTGGCCCTGCACATACAGGCCCCAGTGCAGAGCACCGGCTCCCCCGGCGGTAGTCTCGCCACTGTCTCTGTCTATCTATCTCTCTCTTTTTCTGTCTATCTCTCTATCTCTGTCAGTCTGTTTATCTACCTATTTACCTGTTTATCTGTGTCCATATGTATCTGTGTATGTGTCTATATGTTTGTCTGTTTATATGCTTGTTTGTTAATCCATTTATCTGTCTTCTGTCTTTATGTACCACTGTCCTTGTTCAAAAATGAATACAAGCCAGAGTGAAAACATTTTACTTTTTCACTTTATTATTTCACTAAACCCATCATTACAAGTAAAGCCACCTAAGGCAACGCCACACAGTAATCTTAATTGCTAATGATCATTGAAATTCACTTTGTACTTTTTCTGGGACTTGCCTAAAACCAGTGCTAGTTCTTACGTTCTGAACTTTCCAGCTCTCCTACAGTTAATGATAATATCCTGTTTCATTTTATTTATTCTATGCCGTTTCATACAGTAATTATTATTACCATGCATAGTACTGATGTGTTGCCAGGATAATAGTGGTTCAAAGCGAAATTGTTATTTTGCCAGGTTTTATATTTGTCCCATGAACGCTATGGTTAGATGTATAATATATTCATAAAGATACACAAGCACATGAGTCTCGGTTTATCAGTAACTACACTGTTTTTTGCCACAATGAGAAGTATACCATGCAATCTGATCTTTTCAAAAAATGTAGGAACATTGGATCCTGTGAAAATGCTAAGCAGTGCTTCCATCAGTTTGGAGACAGCAGGCTCTTTCCCGTAGGGAGTTTGGCTAACTGCCAGTCTTTCAGAATCTTGGAACTTAATACGGAGATTCAGCTGGTGCAACTATTTTCATGCTAAAGAAACTGCAATGAACATTTTTGTAATCTTGAAGAATTAAATGCACAATTATCGGTAA